ACATTCACATAAGAAGTAAGGATAGGAAGCTGTTGAGATGGCTCACTGTTGCTCTTGCAGAGAACCAGGATTTGATTCCCACATGGTAGCTCACAACCATCTGTATAACTCTAGCTCCAGGAGATCTCATGCTATCTTCTGAACTCCACAGGCACCAGGCACACACATGATACATATAAACTCATGCAGGCACAACACTTACACATGTAAAAATAAATCTAAAAATATTTTTAAGAAAAAAAGATAAGTATAAGAATTTAAGGCATAGTTAAATTTAAGTGATTAACATTCATGAAGCTGTCCCCAGCACCACATAAACCTGGTACGGTGGTACACTCCTGGAATCCCCGCACTTGAAGCAGAATCATGAGTGTGAGGGCATACTCTGGGCTACATGACAAATTTGGGGCCAGGTTGGGTGCTCTGTTTCAGATGCTCCCCTTGGCTTCTGCTGAGTTTTCACAGAGGAGCTCATTCTAAACCCAGCAAAAGCCAAGAGGTTGTTTTTTCATTTGTTTTTCAGTCTCTCACTATGTAGCCCTGGTTGGCCTGGAACTCACCACGTAAATCAAGTAGGCCTTGAATTCACAGTAATCAGCCTGCCTCTGTCTCCTGAGTGCTGAGAGTAAAGGTTATACCACTATGACTAGCCTCAGATTTAGGGTTGGTGGAAGAACGGCAAGATGAGTTCGGGGGGGGGGGGGGGGGGGGGGGGGGGGGGGGGGGGGGGGGGGGGGGGGGGGGGGCAGCAAGCAAAGCCTGCTCACCGCTTGGCGATCTCCTGATAGCGCAGCTGCAGCTTCGCCTGCAGGTCTTGCTGTGGGAGGAGGAGAGAAGAGGTCAGACTGTTGGGAACCCCAGGATTGGGTTAGTGAACAGGTGTGGTCAGTCAAGATATGGATATAGGCCCTGCAAATGAAGAAAGCTGGGACAGTGGCTTACAGAACATTATCAAGTTTTTGAGCCTTTCCAAGACCTAACTTTAAAAGCCTCCCTCTTTTCCTTCTCCCTTTATCTTCTTTAGATATGGGTCAATATACTAAACAAGCTTGCCCTAACATTATGGAAATTCTCACTTTCTCTGAAGAGCCACACACCTTAACATTTGCTTGCTGACCTGCTGTGCTGAATATGCCTTTCTTGGACCCAAACATAAAGGGCATGGCTACCTCTCTTCCTCTTGTACATCTCCAACCAGGAGCTGCCGAAATCTACAACTTCCCTGACCTTTAGTTTTCTTGCGAAACCTAAATACTCTTCCTCGACTTTCCAAAACAAGAGAAAACTACGGCCATCAGATTCAAAGCTACGATACGGGGACTAGGGAACTCCGGGACTGAGTGGGACTTGGGAGACAAGTGAGGCGGGGAGAGAAGGGCGGGAGAGGAGGAGGGGCAGGAAGCTAAAGCTAGGCTATCTAAAGCCGAGGTATGGGGACAAGGGAATCCCGGAAACCCGACCAGATAACACTTAGGACCTTGAGTCCCGGACTAATGGAGTCACAAATTGAGGGATCCTGGACTCCCCCAATGAACTAATGAGATGTGAAAGCGGTAGAAGATTCGGAGGAACACAGAACCTAAATCCTTCCCTACCACAATCGGACCGGAACACTCACCCCAGACGCCCAGTTCCGCAGCTGCTGGATGACGCGAGTAGCGGAAGCCATTTTTCTTCCGCTCCGAAGGACGCTGGTGACGACTCTGCCCCCGCAGACTGCTGGGTAGCGCGAGCGCTCTCGCGAGAACGGGAGTAGAGCGTGGTCGAGAGCGTGCTATAAAAGCGCTTCCCTGCTCACGTGACTCCTCTCCGACAGATCGCCGCCATCATGGACACGAGTCGCGTGCAACCCATCAAGCTAGCTAGGGTGAGGTGACTGCACGTGTTTAGAAGCCTGGATAAAGGAGAAGAAAGCTGGGTCTGTCGGGTCTAACTGTCCCTTCTTTCCTGCAGGTAACCAAAGTGCTGGGCAGGACCGGCTCGCAGGGACAGTGCACGCAGGTGAGCGGGTGGGGACACCCCGACTACTTCCTGGGCTCTGAGCCCTCCTAAATATTCAGTTTACTGCTGGATTTGGTGGCCTTTAATCCTGACTGCTAGGCTTACTGAGGATAGGACTTAGTAGCCAACATGAATACCTTGAGACAGTTCGAACGTTTTATTTTTAAAAAGGTGGAGTGGGCTGGAGCTGTGTGTCGGTAGTAGACTTGCTTGACATACGCAGAACCCAAAGACTGGATACTGCACTCATACTAAAATCTCAGGTGCTAGCCCACGCCAGTAATTCAAGAAACCTAAGACAGGCAGATACCTGGGAGGTTCAGGCAGGCTTAGGCTACAGAATGAGTGAGATCTAGTCCTGAAGAAAGCTGACACTTGCCTAGCATGCAGGACTTTGAGTCCCCTGCACCACATAAAGCAAGAATTGTGGGTATGGAGACCAGCCTGGGCTAGAGATGCCTTGACTACTCTCCTGGAGGGAAAAAATAATCTGGTTTATACCCAGGTCTCCTATCATAGGTTACTGAAAAGACTGAGGTAGGAAAATTCCTCAGCCTGGCCTAGTCTTAAGCGGGAGGCCCAAAGATAGAAGCCTAAACACTGGAGGTGGGGAAGAGGTATTTTGGGGTGGTGGAGTAATTCCAGAAGGATCAGGAATTCAAGGTTAAGCCTGGGCTACAGGGTAAGACCCTGCCTTGGCTTGGGTCTCTTTGATCTCAGCACAGAGGAAGGCTGAGTTAAAGGCTAGCCAGGGCTACAGAGTGAGACCCTGACTTTAAAAAAAAAAATTACGCCAGGCCTTTAGTCCCAGCATGAGATATGCGAGACCTTATTTTTGTAGAAGAAAAAGACACACCCCTTTTGTGCTCTGGGTTACCCAGGATCTCACAGACCTTCCAGCAATTTGGTTATGCAGCTTTTTTTTTTTTAAAGGTTCTAATGTACACCCTTTAATTGTCCCAGGTTCTTGGTGGTGGGGGATTTGTTTCCACTTTATATGTCTACCACTTGATAATGTCCAGAGATTAGAAGAGGGGGTTCAGATTTCCCCTGGAGCTGGACTTAACAGGCCAGTAGCAAGCTGTGGGTGCTGGGAAATGAAGCCAGATTCTCTGAAAGATCAAAAAGCTCATAACTGCTGAGCCATCTCACCAGCCCCTACCCCAAGCTCTATTGTTCTCTGGATCCATATCACCTTTCCACCCCACTAGTAAGTAGCAGCACTTAATTCTTCTAATGGGTCCATAGGTGCGCGTGGAATTTATGGATGACACCAGCCGCTCTATCATCCGAAACGTCAAAGGCCCTGTTCGAGAGGGTGATGTGCTCACCCTATTGGAATCAGAGAGAGAGGCTCGGAGGTTGCGCTGACCTTGCTGCTGGTGGGTATATGGCAACCCTTGGGAAGAACTGCCACTTGCTGGGAGTGAAAAAACGTTCTCTATTTAATACTTGGGTCTGTTCACAGGATCCTGGATATCCAACACTTGGCCCATGATGACCTGCAACTATTAAATAAAGCATTTGTATTGTTTTAACTCGTCTGGTTAGGGCTTTTGTTTTTTTTCCTCTTGTAGCCTAGGCTGGTCTGGAACTTAGAATCCTTCTAATAAGGTTTCTCAGGGTAGTGTCTTTGCTTTATAGCCCCAGTGATCACTTCACTCTGAAAACCCTTTCATAGGTATATCTTGCACATGGGATAGAGTGTATGTGTCCCTACCACTGCCACCCACACAGAATACAAGTTCAGTAGAAATGCTTTATTGGGAAAGGTGTTTTATGAAGTGAATGGGTTGGGAGTACCAGCACAAGGCACCCTGCTGTGATTGGGAAGTTCAGGCGTAAGAGGAAGGTGTCTCCTACAGTCCAGGTGTAGGTAGCAGCTCACAAACCTTCATTTGTCACTGCATCCCTTCGCTGGGTGTGCCTGTAGGAGACCTTGGGGGTGGCTGGCCCTAGAACAAAGAAAGGGGTTCTGTAGACAGAAGGTAAGAGTTTACGGCCACCATGAAGGAGGGGTTAAGGATGTGGGAGTAGTTAACATTCCATTCCTGTAGAGCCAGGCTGCCTGAATTGATTGCATTTAGACTTCCATTCCTATTTTACATCAGGGTAAGTGTGGGCCTCCTTGGGTGAATTAGTCAAAAAAAGGCCAAGAATAAACCCAGTACCTGGTGTCCAATGCTCAACCCATAGGGTGTGTTCTCCCAGGCACACTTCCCTGCTGGGGCAAACTTTTACCAAGCCTCTAGGCTTCTAGCTCTTCCTACTTGAGCAAAGGGCTCCTTTAACAGGAAAATCTTCCTACAACAGGTAGCTAGGGTATGCCTTTCTTTCATGTGTGTGATTCTAACCTAAAGTTGTGTTTACCACTGGTTTTGCTAGTTAAGCATCAAATGCTTTACAGTAGAATTCAGGCAGAGGTTCTCCAATCTTTGTTCTTCAGGAAAGGAGGCTTCTGAAGGTCGTTAGCATCTGTCTGTTTCTTGGGGACCACACCTACCTGGAAGCTATGGTGGTCTGATGTCAGGTGAGCATGGAGCAGTGTAGCCACCTCATCCTGTTCAGCCTCCAGCGCAATGGCCAGGGCACTTGTTCCCTCCTGAGAAATAATAGGCCATTAGGTCCCTGGGTTACAGTGGAACACACCACCACTACTCTAGGCCCTTACTAGTGAGTAGCTCACATTGTCTAAGATGGTTAGGTCACAGCCTGGTTGGGCCAACAGCAACTGAACTGTATCAAGGCGTCCATACTCGCTGGCACACATCAGTGCTGTAGCCCCATCGGCATCCTGTACATTAACATCAGCCCCACATTCCAGCAGGGCAGCCACCATGTCCTGATGGCCGTGGCTGATGGCCAGCATGAGGGCTGTCTGTCCAGTCTGGAAAAAGAGGTCTGAGGGTTTGAAAGTAGAAAATGACACCACCTTACCCACCCATTGTGAGTGGTAGTATACTATGCACCTGGCTAGCCTTGGCATTGACATCACCCGTGCCAAAAAGTCTCTTGACCACAGCCATGTCTTCCTCCTCCTGCCCTACAGAAGTGAGTGCAGCCAACATGAGTGCAGAATAGCCGGCTCTATTCTGATGATTGACATCACAGACCCCTGGGAAGAAGAAAGAGATCACTTCATCCAAGCCTCACATGCTGATTGGTTGGGGGAGGGGGGTCAGGGTTGAGTTTCCTGCATCACAGATGGGGGAATGAGCATCTGTTGGCAGCCATCTTTTGAGACAGCATCTCATATAGCCTAGGCTGGCCACAGACAAGGATGGGTCATGAACTTATAGTGTAGCCTCCATTTCCCCAGCACTGAAACTGCTGGGCAAAAACTCCACTAGCTAAGCTACACCCCTATTTCCTCAGCCAATTTCGTATGTGCACTTATGTGATTGGCAGACAGTAAGGCCTTGCAGTCTGTCAACCACCGACAGCCCCAGAGATACAGACATAAGCGGGGGCTTACATGGGTGCTGGATATCCGAACTCATGTACTCTTGCAATGCAGGTATTCTTTCCTGTGTCTGTGTTCCTCTTGTTTTTATTTGCTAATAGTCTCTGCTCAGGTGCACTCAATAGCTGTTCACTCACAAATGCTTTACAAGAGTAAGGACACAGACTTTTAAACTGGAGAATTTGCTGGGTGTGTAATCACAGCACTTAAAAGATAGGAGCCGGGCGGTAATGGCGCACGCCTTTAATCCCAGCACTCGGGAGGCAGAGGCAGGCAGATCTCTGTGAGTTCGAGGCCAGCCTGGTCTACAGAGCGAGTTCCAGGATAGGCTCCAAAAGCTACACACAGAAACCCTCTCTCGAAAAACCAAAAAAAAAAGAGACAGGAGGATGGCCACAAGTTCAAAGCCAGCCTGAGCAACACAGTTCCAGGCCTATACAGTGAGCCTTGTCTCAAAAAACAAGAATTTAAAAAAATTTATTGGCCAGGTGGTGGTGGCATGCACAACTTTAATCCCAGCACTCACAAAGCAGAGGCAGGCAGATCTACAGTTTTAGGCCAGTCTGGTCTACAGAGCAAGTTCCAGAAGAGCCAGAGCTCTACAGTGAGACCCTGCCTCAGAACAAAAATAATTTTTTTTTTTACTGTGTGTCATGCTGATGTGAAGGTGAAATGGGACTAGCAACTGAGCAATCAGGATTGAAGGTCCCAACAAAGAAAATAATGAAGTTAGCAACAGGATAGTGGTTAGTCTATGGCTCACTGTCCTCTCTATGTTGTTTCATAGACAATGAAAATTGTTGCCTTGAGCCAGTACCCACTAGATTTGATAAAGTTACCATATCCAGGTGTGTGTATTTGCTTCGGTGAGGGGATAAGATGAGGCAGGGTTGAACAAGCAGAAGGCAAGTGAACAGTAGTTCAACAGCTTGGTGGTAGTGAGAAACCTAAGCAGTGAGTAACCCCCCCTCCCCCCTTGAGGATAGACAGTGTAACCGAAGAACTCAGGAAGCAGTCAGGCATGGTGACACATGCCTTTAATCCCAGCAGAAACAAGCGGATCTTTTGTGAGTTCCAGGCCAGCCAGAGCTACCTGTCTCAGGAAAAAAAAAAGTGCCAGGCTGGGAGATTGAGGAATACAATATACCCAGGGAGGGGGTTGCTAAATTGAGGTCTCTGATCTCAAAGCTGGGTGTTACTGGGGGTGGGGGGTGGGAGTTGATTCAGGACAGCTGAAGATACAGTGAGGCCAAAACGTCTTTGTACCCATGGGAGACGGGCAAGAAGTTCACAAATTTGAGTCCAGGCAAGGGCTACATAGCAAGGCCTTAAGTCTAGATGCTCAGAGGGGTTAGAGCACTACCTGCCAGCCTGAGGACCTGATCCCTAGCACCCTCATAAAGTTGAGCACCATGGCACATGTCTGTAAACCCCAAGGCTGGGAAGATGGAAACAGGTGGGACTTGCTGGCCAAACAGCTCCAGGTTCAATGGGAAGTTGTTTCAGAAAACAAAGTAGGGAGTCATAGCGGAAAACACCCAGTGTTGATTTCTGGCCAAGTAAACAGCAATCCACCCACCCTCTGCCACTGAGCATTTTTCTGTGCCCCTCAACAACCCCAGCCTTCACCCAACCTGGCCCTTTTCTCCACAACCCAATTCCCTGACCTGTATCCAGTAGCAGGCTGGAAATGGCCAGATTTCCATGAGACACGCTGTAATGCAGGGCCGTGTTTCCATTGCCATCTGCCAGGTTCACCACATGAGCCAGCAGCTCAGGCCCCAGGCTCTTCACCCCTCGAAGCACCTCTGCCACAGGCTCAGCCTGCGAGCGCTTTTGGCTGGACACTCGAAACCATTCCTGGGCCACAAGGCGAGCAGCACTCTGGCAGGACAAGGGCAAAGAAGGCATCAATGCAAATACGAAATGAGAGGCACCAAAGTTATGTGTGTGGAAGCCCCCTTTGGTGATCCTGGCAAGCAAGCAAGGCCAATTTCTAAGTAAAGAGAGCTTGAACCATACCCTCTTAAAAAAGGAAGTACAGTCAGGTTCCTAGGCTCAAAAAATAAGACTACATTATGGGAAAATAGAGGACCAAGAGTGAGTGTGGCAGTGAGTACCCACTTGTTCTTTCAGTGTCATGGAATGGGCCTGGGGCTCTGATCTTTACTTGGAGCTGTGGGTGGGCAGGCCAAGAAAAGGTCAGAGCTCTATCCTAGGGGCTAGTATCTCTTTAGAGCTTAGGATCAAGGAAGGTCTCTAGTAAGGGAGAGTACCAAACTTGGTACTCCTGCTCTAGGAAACCCTGCTCTCTTAACTAAGAGGATGTAAGGGAGGAGACAAGACCCACACTCACGCCGTCTCTGGTGACTCCACGAGGCCTGATCAGCTGCCGATTCAGAGCAATGCATGCCTCCCTCAAACGCGGGCTCAGTTCACACCTGCCAGGGAGGCCAATCTATACTCAGGATCCTGGGCAACGGTGACCAGGAAAGAAGGTTTCTGCACTGCAGACCTTTGGAGAACGCTCACCTCCCTTCTGTCTCTGCCTTCAGCTCTAGCTGTGCCTCACATTCAGAGTCCCCGGCGTCTTGGTCGTTGGGGGGACCAGGAGTTCCAGCATCAGATCCCCCACTATCATCTCCTGACACGGAAGAGCTACTCCTGGGGAGTTCAACACCATCTTCATTGTCACTATCACTGGCATCCTCGCTGGAGGAGCTCTCATACCTGGGAACAGGATGGGAGGTGTCTGCTGAGCCTCCCCTGTGGGCTCATTCAAGAGGGTTGTGAGGTGAGAGTGGCATTTTAAAGAGGAAACTGGACTGCAAAGCCAGACTATGAGCAGAGGGGCAGAGCTGGGAATAATAGCCTGTGTCCCTGTGGCTGTTATCGGGAAAGGGTTTGCGCTCACTCTCCGTTGAGGACCCCAACGAACTGCAGGCTCTTGGGTCCCTGACTGGATTGGGCACCTGGAGTACCGTCTTTTTTCTTCATGATGGATTTGAGGATGCCTGGCAGGGAATTACATAAGGGCACTGAGTTTTGACTTCAGCCACCTGGCAGGCCAGGGTTCAACCAGGAGTGGAAACTCACCAGCAGGGGCTACCTCCTTGTCTCCAGCCATGGGTCTGGGCTGGTTCTCCACTGGGAGCTCGGTCTGCGTTGTCTTCTCAGTGCAACCCAATTCGGTCTGGGTGGCCACCTCACGAGATTGAGGCCTGGCCACTGCAGCCTCGTGGGCCTCCTTCAGCTCCCTCAACCGGCCCCGCAGGAGTTCGCTCACTCCACGCTGATGCTCCAAGCTCGTGTGGAGCAGCTCCAGCTCACGCTCTGCAGCCTCGGGCAGCCCCAGCAGCGCCTCGGTCACCCACGTGTCCACCTCAACGGTGTGAGGGGCCACCTCCACTCCAGCCTCCCTAGTATCAGGTACTGCCTGGGCATCTGCCTCTTGGGTCTCGGGCACGACTTCGGTGCCCGCCTCCCGAGTCTGGGGTTCCCCATCGGGTGTCCCAGACGCCGGGTCGAGGACCTGCAGCGCGCCTTCGCTGTGCCTGGCAGCCAACCCGTCGGGATCGTCAGCCCCGGGGCTGGCCCTGGAGCGGACTCCGCGATCGGAGGTGGCCAAACGTTCAGTGAGGCGGCGAAGCTGGGAGAGTTTGTCTGGGCGCGCTTCAAAGGCCTCCACTTCTTGCTCCGGCTGCACGCGCCCGGCCAGTAGCCGCGCCTTCTCGGCGCGCAGCGCGCGCACCTGCTCTTGCAGCTTGGGCAGAGCGCGCGCCTGGTCCTCGAGTTCGCGCAGGCGCCGTAACGCCACGGCCATCTGCTCCCTCACCAGCTGCAGCTGGGCAGGGCCGGGTGAAGCAAGGGCGGGATTGGGGGCAGGGCTGCTGCGGCCCGACCCGCGCGGGCTACGCGTGACCGCACGGACCGGGCTGAGCGCGCGCTCCCCGGCCTGCGCCTGAGCCTGCTCTAGTCGTCGGCTGGTCTCCAGGAGCGTGTGCTCCACGCGCGGGTTGCGCGAGAAGGAACGCGGCGACAGCGGAGGTAGCAAGAGTCCCGGGAACGCCCCGGGAGAGAGTGCGCCCGACGCTCCGCCGTCGTCACTGGCCAGGGATTCACTGGAAGTCCAAGCCCCTGGGCTCCGCGCCCCGGCAAGGCCCGTTCGGGGCGCCCGCGGGCGTCGTGTGTGAGGGGGTCCTGGGGCTCGGCGGGAGGCAGGACCGCGCTCGAGTTCCTCCACATACTTGAGGAAGTCCAGGTCCAGGTGGAAGCCATAGGGCGTCTCCACCGAGTAGGGAGAGCTAGGGCTGCGAGCACTCCCAGTGGAGCCTGGGTAGAGGCGAGGGCCGCCCAGGTCTGTGGTGTAACAAGGACGTGGAGAGGAAAGAGGGTGTCAAACCAAGAAGCACCCAAAGAGAATGAACAAATGTGTTCCCCGCCCCTTTGCCCCTGTTATGCACCTGTACATTGGTCATGAGCAATATCTGCACACGGATGGGCATGCAATCATGCTTCTTGAGCACCCACTAAGTGCCAAACACAAACTTGGGACATTATAGTAAGACAATATCCGAGCCATAAATAGACACAATCATTTCAAATGACTTTCAAGACAATAATACATGGTGAAATACGGAGCCACTGCAGGAGCTAACTTTGGCTCTCATGTCAGGAAAGATTTCCTGTGGTGGGAACTTAAAAGGGATTGAGCCCTTCATAACAAGGAGGAAGCAGCTGCAAGGGCAGAAGGTTCCAAGAAGAAAAAGGCCCATGGAAGACACTGGAAGGGAGGGGGTGCTGTAAGAGTGACAGTCCAATGGAAGTTAGGTGTCTCCAGGATGGTGAAAGGAGGAAGGGAGAGAAGAGCTAAAGGATAGGCAGAGGGCACGCTGTGGGGGTCCTCTAGGCCATCATGGGGAGTGGACATTATTTATGGGGGTGGAGGTGTCATGAATGGGTTCTAAATAAAGCCATGACATTGGCTAATAGGCTTTTAGGAAAGGCCATGTGGCTACCGTGTTAATAAAAATAAAAAGGAACTGCTGAGTTATGTCCATATATACACACAATCACCCAATGTGGATCTGTGTAAACACATATACCTCATTTTGTACACTCACCAGACAGGTTCTGATTCAGAACGAACTTGGCCATATTTCGTAGAGTAGCCACCAGACAGCCTGAAAAAGGCCCCCAGAGAAGTAAGTGTGAAAATCCAGTCCTGTCCCTTGATTTGAACCTGATGTTCGCTCCACCACCATTGAAACTTTGAGCAAACAGACCCAAGAGCATTTTTCCACCTCACCCATCCCCAGGCTCTCTCCTCCTCCCTTCAGGAACCTTGGAAATGCTAATGCTACAGATGGGATCCAAGACTTTTTTCATTCTACATAAGTACTCTTACCACTTTTGCTTTGAGACAAGGTCTTGCTATGTGGCTAAGGCTAGCCTCAAAATCATAATACTGCCTCAACCTCCCAAGTTCTGGGATGACAACTGTGTGCCACCATGTTTAGCTGAAATTTGAAGTGAATGAAGTAGGAACACCCAAGTTGCAAACCTGGGAAGAGGAAGCAAGACAGACATCAAGCAGAGGAAAATAAAGTGGAAGTATTTCAGACTTAGAAATCTCAGTACCAGCCGGGCGGTGGTGGCGCACGCCTTTAATCCCAGCACTCGGGAGGCAGAGCCAGGCGAATCTCTGTGAGTTCGAGGCCAGCCTGGGCTACCAAGTGAGTCCCAGGACAGGCGCAAAGCTACACAGAGAAACCCTGTCTCGAAAAAACAAAAAACAAAAAACAAAAAAAAAAAAAAAAAAAAAAAAAAAGAAATCTCAGTACCTTAGGAAGCTGAGACTAGAGGATCCCAAGTACAAGCCAAGCATAATGGTGCATGCCTTTAATCCCATCACTTGGCAGGTGGATCTCTTTGAGTTTGAGGCCAGCCTAGGGTCTACAAAGTGAGTTCCAGGACAGCCAGATCTACATAGTGTGATCCTGTCTTTAAGGGGGCAAGAGGGAGTACAAGGTTAGCCTAGACAACACCCTAGACAGATGTTGTCTGTCTAGACAGATCCTGTCTCAAAAAGTGAAAACAGAGCTGAGGATATAGTTCAATGGCCAAATGCTCACTTAGCATTCTACAGGTACTAGGTTCAACCCTCAGTAACACACACACACACATATACACACACACACATATACACACACATTCCTTGCATTTTTCTTAGAGAAATGGTAAGATTTAAGTGAGCATTGGAAATTTAAGCAAGATTACTTGCAAAACCCTTCTATAAATGATAGATGGGAAAGTATAAGTCTAGATAGCTCAATGATGCAACTGAGGAAAGCCTGTCTCTCTGGAATGTCTCTAGTACGATGCTACAAGGCTCTGTTCTTGGCTTATGGGACTTTATAATGGAAATGCAAGCATCTAAGGAAACAATGATTATCTATGAGTTCAGGGAGTTCTATTAGCTATGATTATCCATGAGTTCAGGGAGTATGAATCTTCAGATGACACAATGGAGGCTAAGTAGGTAAGGGTGTGGAAGCAAAGATATGACTCAGTGGCACTTGCCTAGCATACACAAGGACATGAATTTGATTGGAGCAGCACCAATAAAATGAATGAACAAACAAATGAATGAATGAATGTATCCTGGGCTGGAGATGTATTTCTCTGGGTAGAAAACTTATTTAGCATAAATGAAACCCTGGGTTACTGACTAGTGATGCAAACCTGTCACGACAACACTTAGGAGGTAGACGCAGGAGAATCAGGAGTTCAGGTCATCCTCAGTTACATAGAGCTTGAGGCCAGCCTGGAATACATGAGACCATATCTCAGAAAAGTGGGTTAGAGAGAGATAGCTCAGCAGTTCAGAGCACTTGCTATTCTTGCAACTGACCAGGTTCAGTTCCCAGCACTGGAGAGCTTACAACCTCCTGTAATTCCAGTTCCAGGGGATCCAACAGTTTTCTGGCCACTGAGGACACTTGTATATACTTGGTCCACATAGGAACACTCAGGT